AAAGTTACTAAAACCATTGCCGAAGGCCATATTCAACGCTCTTATAAATCCGCTGCCAGCGGTTTTTATTCCAAACGGGATTCTTTTAAATTGGTATAATAGCGACCCGTGTAGAAATGCGGTATACGGACGTGACCCTTTATTCAAAAGTATTTGCCAATACCCATGGGTTAAATCAACAGTCGTTAAAAAACGCTTTCCATGATACTTCTGTAACAATTCGTTGATCAATGGTGGAGCCTCATTGTCTGCCTTAATGATTCCGTTTAAATGACGCGCGCCCAAACAAATTCGCACCTTTCCGTCCTTCTTCATAACGATTGTAATCGGATTACAATAAGGGCTAGTCGACCCTTCAGTAATGCGCGCCTTCAACATTTCTTCGATCTCACGACTGACCGCGTCCCGGAGAGACAATGGTATCGGATAAGATCTTTTGACAAAGGGTTTATCCTCAATGACTTTTAACCAATGCTCATAAATATGTGTGTTGCTGGGCTTATCAGAAAATATCTTCAAATGTTTATTGATCACTTCATAGAATGCTACTTTTTGCGACTCACTCTGTGTCGGAAGTTTACACACGATGGGTTCTAGTCCCGGGGGAGAAACTACATTGCTTCGTTGACCATCGTCGTGAGACACTTTTTCAAGCGCTTGTTGTTGTCCGTTGCGGTCATAACAAGGTGCTACCTCACGACTATCCATTTCCAATTCCATAGGCACGTTATATTTAACAACGTTGGATTACTCCTCATTACCCGAATCAAAGTTGTAATTAACATTTTCTCTATCAACATCATTTAATTCTGACCGTTCAATTGCCGAAATCACGCTTGCATCTTTCGTAGTACTAAACAGTTCCTCGGAACGACACCACTCCTGGTAAACCTTACAAATTAAGTCACATCCCTCACTTGGAATTTGTTCGTTCCCCCCGCACTTTCTGGTACAATCAATAATTTGCAAGAACAGTTCCCTTTGACATGTTCGAGCAATGAATCTCTCGCCCGGTTCCACACCATACGACACAAGGTCATAATTTAAATACAATTCGTCTAACATCACTTTCAAATTCGCATAATTAATCACTACTCGATTCCCAAACAGCCAGTCGGTCCTCAAGATCATGGGAATTGCCAACCGCGGCACAACTAAAAATTGACTATCGACCCATTGATCCCCTACCATTAAGGTCATCGCTATCTGCTTCTTTACAGGAGTAGCTTTTTCACCTAACGCTGGGGTTACTATCACATTATTTATAGGCAGTTCATCAAAAGTCGTAAGTTCACACAATTCCTTATAAAAGTCTTCCGATAGACATGTAACTTGACTTCCACTATCAATTAGGGCCTGTACCGCGATCGTGCAAGCATGAATCTGAATTTTAGGACATTTGACCCTGTATATGTCATCGCATTTTTTCTCCTCTCTCAATTGGCCATCAATACCCTCTTTCGGGTCCTCCACAAAATCATAAAAATATCGACGTACTTGTGAACCTGTTCTCAAGCCGTCATTTACGAGTTTAAATTTTCCGACGATATGTGAAGGCGACTTAATGGTGGTGGTGGTGGTGGTGATGGTGGTGGTGGGGGGGGGGGCCCTCGGGTGTCGGGATATCCTGTCATGGAATAAGTCGGTATTCTCCTCGGCGTGACACTCTGGTGGTCTACGACTCGCTCGTTGCCTGAAGGAGAGAACCGTCTGTACAGTCCAGTTTCGTCACGCTGACCGTACCTTCCCCTGCGATTTACCGTGTAACCGCGAATAGAGCTGACCTGGGCGTGTTCCGGCGTCACATGCTCGCGATAAGTTCGGCCGATCTTGGGCCGATCGCCCACATTACGCTCCTGATCCCTATCCGTCTGCACATGGTCCATCTGAGACAATGCCTGAGCAACTTCCTTAGACTCGTTATAATTGACTGAAGCTAGAGCTGTTCTAATACGAATTGGCAGTTGCTGTACAATCGTAAAATTGATCTCATATGGCGTTAATTTGGGTTAAAAAAAATCTAGTTTGTTTCAGTTGCTTATAAAAGTAATCCTGCAATTTTCCATCATTATACCGGTATTTTCGTGAGGTCGATGCATTTTTTAGTTTCACCTGAACGGGAACTGAATAGAACTGTTCCAGAAAATGTCTCTTAAACGTTTCAAAATTAATACATTGTTCTTTATGAGCCTCCATCCAAATTTTGGCTCTTCCTCTTAAAGTATTTTCTGCTATTAGTATTTGACATTCGGGTCTAATTTTCTTAACTACAAAATATCTATCCAAATCAGCTAAAAATTCCTGCGGATTTATCGTTTCCTCATCACTAAAATGAGGGGCTTTAAAATCGACCTGCAGATTTTGGAAGTGGTTCAGTATGCCCGTTACAGCCGATCGTTCGACCTCCGGCATTCCTGCTGTATTTACCTCGCTTCTTGCCTCTGTATTCTGCTCGGCCGCCTCACTGTTATCATTTCTTTGAAACCTTATTTACTCTAGGTCGATTCGCAAATTCACCAATTCCTGCCTTTGCTGATTTAAAACTTCTCTATCAGTTTCCCTATTCCTACTTAATTGCTTAATTTCGTTCAACAATTCCCGATTATCCTGCACGCATACCGCTTTGCATCGAATTTCATCTAACTCTACCTATTTTTCCGTTAACTTTTTCTGCTCGACTCGCAATACTTGCCACTGCTGCTCCATCTGCGCTTGAATAGTTTCTAAATCTATCGGATTAGCCATTTTATCGACTCTATCGCTCTTTCTTGCTTCTGTCTTTTCCCGTGCGGCTCTCCGTCTCGTCGGCATACATAAAATTTGATTCCGATATGTCCACTCTTACAATGTCGTTAACAATTCTACACGAATTCACACATATTCTTCATTCATGCAAATCACAATCATGTTAAAACAATCTTAATCGAGTTACTGGTTCGGGCGCCATTTGTAACATTCTTTATTATTTGATTCTTCGCGTTCCTTACAATACTTGATCTTCCCTTAATGGGAAAGTCAGGCCGCATAACCTTTCGCAAAATGATCTAAAGTCCCCTGTACGCACAACAACGCATCGCAATTCAATTTTAGACATCAGCGAACCGATCAATTCGAACCCGGCTCGGCGCGATAATTGGGAAGCGATTTGGGGCGAATGGGCCCTTGTGGAGAGATCTTTTTAAATTTTCCCACTTGTGAAATAAGGTTTCTCCGGTTTGGAGCAGGGTCTGTACTTATCTCTGGGTTTGCTTGGATTTTCCACTCTTTTCCGGGTCCCAAAGAGGCAATTGATAAACGATTGAGTCGTGCCAGAGTTCACCAGTCCTCCTGGCTCCGTCCCATGCCTCCATAATTGGTCATGCTTTTTGTGCTTCCTCACAGGCCGAGGTCCTCTTTTCGCGATCCCGGTCTCTCTCTTCGCCTCTCGGCCTTCTTCCTTCTCATGGAGACCCCTTTCCACTTTTCCCACTCTCCACGCGAGCCCTTCCATAATCGGCGCCGACTCGCTGCGCTCTCGCCCGATACTTGTAACTCTTACACCACATTCATTAGTTTAGTCATTACAGAGGACGAAAGATAGTTGAAAATACTCGGTGTTCGCGCAATCGTAGATAGAATTCTGCTGTCGTGATATGTTTGTATGACATTGTGCACCTACAAAAATATTGTTATACGCTTTACTTATTTCGTGTCATCTTTGCACCCTTGATTATAAAGAAGCATGCGCCGGTGAATAACGGAACTTTTTTTAAAGTCATTACACACTTCTGCACGAGTGAATACGTTGTTACGAGGCTACCCGATTTTTCCTCTAAATAGAGAGGCGCGCATTTTTCTAAGTATGAGTTAGTTACCGAAAGATAAATATCGAATCAAAAGCACGACAGTATCGTCAGATTAAATCGAAAAATAACAACGAGTGGAACAATCATCGAGGAATTGTTTTGGCTTATTCGCACGCACTCCGCATCGAACTGCACTTTGGACCAAAACACGGACCTACTCTTCCGCCAACCTAGTGACTACCTCAGCACTTCCGATCAAACTTTTAACAACAAAATCCAGAAACAAAGGAACCGGACCCTGTCCCCACGGGCATCTCAAGGATAAGATCTCGTATAAAAGCAGTGCCGAAAAGCAGCCGCAGAGCGCAGTAATATAGTAGCAGCAGTCTCAGGAACGAGGCTGGAGCTCTCTGAAGAGCTGACCGTACCGTAGTAACAGTTGTGCGTTTCGGTACTCCGACATCCACGAGCCAACAGTGAGAAGAACGACGGCGCTGCGAATTCCGGACTAGCGGGAGAATCTTAGGAAGCTCCAACCCTAGGGCACGCCCCGGTTTGAAGGCGTTCACGTGCAGTTCATCGCAACCGGCAGGACGTAGGAGAGACGTCACCGGAAGTAAAAGCCTCTGCGAAGCCAAGGTACAGGTCCTCTTTGAAGAGTTCCACTCTTCCATTCTTGCACTCTTTTACTCTTTCATCACTCTATTTCGAACCCTATTCCAAATTACTAACTCACAATAGAATTCGGTATCTACCTCCCGGTAACAACTATCAAATTCTAACTCTTCAAATATGAATCGCAACTTATTAGCCACCCTTGCTAAGTAAGGCAAAGCGCACCTTGCAAGCAAAGAATTCCGCGTCAGCATTCCGCGATAGATACGCGGACGTATCTCGATTACACTTCCGCGAGGTGCAAGCGCGCGGCCTACAACGTCCTTGCCTCGACTCGCGACAATCTGCTTAGCGCAGCACATACTTGTACACCTTACCCCCATGGACATTGTACCCCTTATATTATAAATAGAACTGCTTCATTCAATACAACATAACGACTTGGTTCTCACGAAACCTTAAAACCCTCCTGTGTCCTCATTGCAACTTCCCAATACCCTTTGAGGACCAAAAAACCTATCGATCCCACCAAAGAGGTTGACCTAGCCGCTCGGGTTATCCTCTCTATATCTCTCGAATAATAAACTGGTTACGTGTGCGTACGAGTTAATATCTCTACAACAGAATACCGTCCCGAGGAATCAACAAAATTCCCCCGGGCTCGCCAGCCACTCGGCCGCCACATAACAGAACTGGTGACAGCGGTGGGATACCAGGGATCTTTGCATCTGCAATTCGATAGGGTCCGAATTAATCTCAATTAATCGGATGTCCCACTGACACTTTCATTTTTCTCAATTTTCATAAACTGTTTCTTCTCAACGAAATATCACTACCAAGTCATCTTTGTCCATTCTTGAATAAATTCCCATAAGGATTCATAAAATCTTTTGCCCTTCTCTTCACATATAAAAGGAAAATTCCATTTTTATCATTACCTGGAAATTTTTAAGGCAATTCCATTCCTGAACTTCCTAACCTTTCATAAATCTCATTAGACGTTCCCCATTCAACTCCACTTCCACTTTAAACAAACCTAAAATTCATTAAAAAATTACTAGCATACTATATTGCTAAACTAAAACTCTAAAATGGCTAAAGAACCTACACCAACAGATTTACTAAACCTAACCTATCAACACTTACAATCCGCGGATCAATCTTCTCGAATCCGCTGTATTCAAAGCGCTCTCAAAGAAATTCCTACATTCGACGGTGAAGAACCCCCACTAGCAGTCTTTTTACAACATTTAGAAAATGGTCTAACACTGATAGGATCTCAGGATGAAGGCCTCTATTTAACCGCGGTTTTAACCAAATTAACAGGAGCCGCGCGTGCTAGTGTGGAAGGTAAAGGCTTCACTACTCGCCGAGAATTTACTCGCCATTTAAAGAAAAGATTCGCACCTTATAAAAATTATGCTTCTGCCCTCAAGGAAGTAGAACATTTAGGAATTCGCGAGAATGAATCCATCCGACAATATCTCAATAGAACTAGCAGTTAGGAAGAAAAGCCAAAACTGCAATTCCCGATTCAGACGAACAGGAAACCAAGAATTGTAAAGAGAATCTCGATAAGTCGTTACTTTCACATTTTATTTGCGGCCTTCCCGTGGACGCCATACCTTTTGTCGTTGTTCGCCAACCTAAAACATTAGACGAAGCTTTTGAAGCCGCTTTAGAAATCGAAAAGATCCGTCAAGAAAGGAGAGTTTCTCATGATTCTCCAGGAAGGGAAGATTACAGGCGTGACTATAGAGATCATAGCTATACAGATTACAGAAGCCCCCATAGAGAATCACGTTATGAACAATTCGAAAGGAATAACCGAAAGTACGTTAGCTATCCACAATCACCCCGTGCATATGATAGATATCCTAGACACTCATATGAACGCTCACACTACGACCGGAACTTTAGTCCCGGACCGGACCGCGTGTACAGTTCGCCGCATCAGCAACAATCGTTATCGCCCTCCGAAGATGAGCTCGCACAAGCCCTTGCGAAGCTTCTACACCAACGTAGGTCTAGATCACCTACACCACGATACTCAATGAATGACCGTAATTCGAGTACACTCCACACCCTGATTAATGAAATAGGAAAACAATTTCCACCTCGTACGCCTTCACCACCTCGAATTGATAATCAACGGAATTTTAGGCCCATGCGTTCAAGGAGTCCCACTCCTGACCCTCAACCCCAGTCAGAAAGAAACCCTATAACCTATTGCAGGAACGGCAGAAACCCATCTCATTACGGGTATTGCAATCCACCTTCGCATTTCCGCTCTCGATCTCCCTCACACGGTCCACCATCTAAAGAAACATTAAGGAATTCTACTCCCATAAGAAATATGAGCCCTCGAAGATCAGACCATTTAAACGCCGAAGGCGCTTGCCGAGTCTCCAACGAGGCGAGCGCTATCAAAAAACCCAATCCCCGAAACGTGACATTCGCGGACTCAAAGATAAGCAACCAGAATGCATGGTCGCAAAAGCACCATCACCTAGAATCACGATTCGAGCGCCCGAATTAAAAGGCGGTCAAGGAACTTTTGTCATAGACAGCGGTTCCTCCGTGAATATTGTCCATCTCGAAGCCTTAAGCGATTTAGCACCCATGACTTCGGCCGAAAAACTTCCCATTAGAGGTATCACCGGAAATATGACATCAGCTCTAGGTACTACTACCCTTTCTATGGGTCATTCCAAAGCAACCTTCTATGTCATGGAAGAATCCGTACTATCATGTGACGGATTACTCGGAAATGCATACCTAACCCAAGAAAAAGCTGAAATTTCATATAATCTAAACACTATGGTAATTGCTAGTGAACCTATTAGACCTTTAACTTTTGACAATATAAGCGAATTCGATCAACTACAGGACGAATTTTCCGAAATCAAACAAACAATCAAAGCTCGAACTAGGCAACAAATAAAATTCCCCGTCATAAACTCCGAATTAGAGGAAGGATATCTACCAAGAGTACCCTCTCCTAGAGGAGTATACATAGGAGAAGCAGTCGTAACTGTATCTAACGGATTTTGTCACGTACTCGCCACCAATACAACCGAGGAAGACATCGACATCGAGATACTACCACAGTATCTAACTCCTTGCGACTTCCTCTATTCCTCGGATGACGAATTTGATACCGACACTCAGCAAAATACTATCACTGATACTCGTCAGCGTACGGAAAACATCAAAAACATTTTGAAATTGGATCACTTAAATCCGGATGAGAAAAACCACGTTTTACGAATTATACATGAATTCCCAGATTGCTTCCATTTGGCTGGAGATAAATTAGGAATGTCTAAAACCATCATACATTCGATCCCCATTACGGATGACAATCCAGTACATACAAAACAGTACCGATATCCACCTATCCACCTATTCACCAAGAAGAAATTAAGAAACAAATAGCAAATTTAATAAATAACGACATTATTCAACCTTCAAGTTCCCCGTACAATTCACCCTTATGGATTGTCCCTAAGAAACCCGATTCTATGGGAAACAAACGTTGGCGCATGGTCATAGATTTTCGAGCCCTAAATGAAAAAACTATTGGCGACAGTTATCCATTACCCTGTATCACTGAAATATTGGATCGTTTGGGAGGCGCGAAATATTTCTCAGTTTTTGATCTAGCAAACGGTTTCCACCAAATAGGCATGGATCCCAAAGATCGTGCTGAAACTGCATTTACAACCCCCAACGGACATTACGAATACACTCGAATTCCATTCGGACTCAAGAATGCGCCCGCGACTTTTCAACGGTTAATGGATCAAGTATTAACAGGATTACAGGGAACCGAACTTTTCGTTTACTTGGATGATATTGTAATATACGCATCTTCGCTCCAAGAACACGACGTTAAAATTAGGAATTTGCTTAATAGATTAAAGGAACATGGTTTAACATTGCAGCCCGACAAATGTGAATTCTTACGAAAAGAAGTAACCTATTTAGGACACATAATTACATCCGATGGAGTCCGTCCGGACCCTTCTAAATTAACAGCTGTAAGAAACTTCCCTGTTCCGAAATACGCTAAGAACATAAAACAATTTCTCGGACTAGCAGGTTATTACAAACGCTTTATTCCAGACTTTTCCAAAATAGCTAAACCTATGACAGATTTACTAAAGAAAGACGTTAAATTTATTTGGACAGCAAAACAACAAGGAAGTTTTGATAATTTAAAAGAAAAATTATGCAACGAACCAATTCTTCAATTTCCAAATTTCAACGAACCATTCGTAGTAACTACCGATGCATCCGACTATGCAGTTGGAGCCATATTAAGCCAAGAAAAAATTGGACAAGACTTGCCCATTGCCTACGCATCTCGAACATTAAATTCCGCTGAAAAAAATTATTCTACCACGGAAAAGGAATGCCTAGCAATAATCTACGCAGTGGCATATTTCCGACCTTATCTCTACGGACGAAAATTCGTTTTGGTAACTGAGCATAGACCTCTCGTATGGCTACATTCAGTAAAAGACCCTAGTTCACGACTAATGCGTTGGAAATTAAAATTAGCGGACTTCGAATACTCCGTCATATACAAATCTGGAAAAACAAATTTAAACGCAGACGCTCTATCTAGGAATCCGGCTGTCTCTTCTCTAGTTAATTTTTCTCACCGAAATTTTCGCCCTAATTACAATGACTCTTCCTCCGATACCGACACAGACGATATCGAATTCCGACCAAACATTCGCAGAACCAAGAAATATTCTCGTAAACGATCAACGGTTAATTCCCTACCAATTTTACCCTACGATGAAGATCCTGAGTATAAACCACCTCAGCACATCGCACGTCAGGCTATTTTATCTCCCACACGAACACGTAGACAATTAGCACCCGTAACTTACCGAGAGTCAAGTTCCAGCGCTATCGAGACAGAAGCCGAGAATGACGATAACGAATCTCGGAATGAAAAAAGCATGCTTCCATCCTTATCCACCGAAAAAACTCTCGAGGATCCNGTGTCCTCATTGCAACTTCCCAATACCCTTTGAGGACCAAAAAACCTATCGATCCCACCAAAGAGGTTGACCTAGCCGCTCGGGTTATCCTCTCTATATCTCTCAAATAATAAACTGGTTACGCGTGCGTACGAGTTAATATCTCTACAACAGAATACCGCTCCGAGGAATCTACAAATTCCCCCGGCCTCGCTAGCCACTCGGCCGCCACGTAACAACGTAATCGTATAATTTAAAAGTTAATGAAAAGCTGTATGAAATTCTTATCATGTACATGGCCCTAAAAATTCTGCCAGGATTTCATTAGAATTCACTCCATCAGATTACGTGCAGCTCTAAAAAAAGAATGAAACACTACCGCCACTACAAGTTATACTGTCGGTAACGTCTAGGGTAATTCGTTACCGTATAAGTGTGGCGGCGTTACCGATGGTATATCTCAGTACCCGCAGCCTATGCAGATGGCGCTGCAACTATTAGAGCTCCTTTTTTATCGACACTATCCAAGACCCAGGGGCCGATTCGGAGTTGCTTATCGCCTTTCACATCACCTTAAGCGGGAAGTTACATCAAAAGTGTCGAGCCGAAGGGTCTTTTCGGGGAAGACCGAAGACTTTTCGGGGAAACAAGAAAGAGAGATCTAGGGACAATGAAGAAGAATGGAAGGAAGGAGAGGACCCTTCTAAGAGGTGGAAGAAAAATGAAGACACAGGGAAGCCGATCCAACCTTGATTGAAGACATGCCTTTTGCACACGAGCCTCCGGGCAACGAACCTGGAGCCAAGGGGATCATCTCCGTAGGGTCAGGGGCCTGGGCCATCAAGAGGTCCTCGAGCAGCCAAAACACCGCGCCTAGTTTGCACAATTTCTCTTTTAACTTTCTGTTCAGTTCACTCAAGAAAGAACCGACGTGGATTCCAAAGTCACTTCTGGCATCAAATGTGAAATGACTGGGCAACGCAATATAGAATAGGGCTCTTTATTCGGGATACGTGTGCAGACTGAAACCGTCGACATAAAACTGGCCGTTGGTCATCGTCCCTTGGCCGTTTCCAAGAGACGTATAAAAGATGGTTGGAAAAAAGTGTATACCGGGTGCCCGGATACAACAGTTTATAGGCTGATTCTTTTGTATCACATTAATACTGTGACGTGGTGAAATTCCCCACACGTCACAAGAGGTGTCTTTAAAGCCGGAGTACGGAGAGGTCCCCTTAGAAATCGTTAGTTTAAGGGTTTTTGTTAGAAAATAACCAGGAAATTGGCGATAAGGAAGTAGGTAAGAAGGCGCCGTATACCGGCCTGGGAGCACCGACGTTTAAAGGTCCTGAGGAGACGAGCGAGGCATCCCGCAATTTGGAGGACATGCTGCCATCGGCCGGTGGCCGACTTAACCATTTGAGTCCCCAGCAGCGCGATCGCGCTGTTCAGATTTCATGTCGAGAAAACCCAGCACATTTTGAGCGTTGTGGATAACTGACGGTGCGTCACCAATTGTCGAAGTCGCGCGCTTAGATTTACTGACCCATGTACATCACACAGCTCCTTCTTTTAATGTAAATAATACATCTTACAATTCAAGAAACGCTATCGCTCCAATTGGGATTTATCGACATAACATAAACGAAGCGCTATCGCGCCGCTTGGGATTTATCGACATAAAATAAAAGAAGCGCTATCGCCCTGCTTAGGTCTTCTCGTGTTCATTTAGAGAAAGCGCGGTTGCGCTGTTCGGGATTCTTCGACAGTGTTTTTTCAATACCCCCTGGGACTCAAATGGTTAATTAGTCGGCCTAGAAACCCACTTCGGCGGGGCAAGAGGGCAGGCCGGCTCCCGATCATAGGTTCGGCAAGGCCCGCTAGAGAGACATCGAGGCGGGAGCGGAAGTCCTGCCGACGAGACCGGCATTTGCCAAGGAGATGTGCAGCCAGCAAGGATCTCCCGTGGGAGGTGGCGCTTGCTTCGAGAAGCATTGTCCTGTGCCGAAAGGCCCCGTCCCGTCCCGACCAGCACCGTTCCGAGGGGCACCGTCCCGTCCCGCATGGGGTTTTTGTCGCCAGTCAGCTGCGCCGCCGTCTCGACGAGAGAGGTTCCGTCCCGGACCGACCTACGACCGGTAAGCCCAAACCTGCCTAGGGGGCCTCCTAAGTCGCGTTCCCTCCCGTACACCCGTATTCCGCCGGGAGTCAATTACCCATATGCCAGTAACCGTTGCCGTGCCAATTTCCGATTTCTAATCACTCGGTGATAATTGAAATTCTGATATGGGGAACTTAGGGTTCTTCGTCGCTTCTCCCGCGCTTTTCGTCCCTGCGTGGCACTTGCGCCAAGGCGTGTCGACTGCCGGGCGCCTGCCGTTTCCTAGTTTGTAACCGCTTTTTTGTGCGTGAAATATCCTGACGTCGTACGGAGTGTGCTGGCATCCCGGGTTCTTGTAAGTTTGGCCCAGCCGGTGATCGCGCGGCGGGCCAGCTGTGAGCCGCCATTTCCAGCGCCGGGCGGCACCTTCCAGTCTGCGCGGGCCGAGATATACCGTAGGTCGCGTCCCGATCGTAAATTCCATTGCGAACCAGCAGGAGATCCTCGCCCGCCTGTTTTACCGAGCCACCGTATCGTGAAGTACCGGACGGAATCCCGTGGCTGCGTCGCGGTGGGCGAGGATAGTGATGCCGACCGCGGGCCGGCGCCGATTGCGCAACTTCCGGGCGTCCCTTATCGAGGCACCGAGGGGGCCCAAAAAGTCTTCCTGGCCGGGTGTTGTGCTCGTAGCCCCCCCCCCCCCCCCTACAGAGGGGGATACCTCTTTCACCGCGACTCATTCTTTTTTCTTGTGCCTTATTGCGTCCCGCTAAGCGCCCGTCCCGTTCGATGGGCGCCCCCTTTTCCCCGTAGCGAATCTTAAGAATGTTATCACGGCGCGAGCCTTGTAAATCGGCCCGGAATACATTCGATCCCGTCGGGATCCCTTATCGCCATATTATCGGCTGACGTCCCTTCACTTCTCTTTTCTTTTTCTCCCCGACGTGACCAGCGAGTCCCGAAGGGACACCTTCGCACTAGGCGGATATTGCGTCAAACCCCCCTACTGTGCCGTGCCGCGAAGGGCGAACGGTCCTCGCGGGGCTGAGTGGCCGGTGGCCCCGGACCAGCGGGCCGGGTCGTCGTGCTGCACGTTACCGGGTCCCGGCAGCTCGAGGTGCGCTCTCGCGCACCTGATGCCCCGGAAAGTAAAACGGGTTTGTCGGGAGGGCCGAATACCGGGCTCGACTACTTGTCCGCAATTGATACCGGACTTAGGACGATTTGATGGTCGGGGAGGTGAACCGCATCGCAATAAATTTTAGAAACACATTTTTATTACGCCCATAAACTGCATTTATCATTTGCATTCATGGCACTGCCCTTTGGGCAATGAAAAGCATTGGCAAAAGCTTCTGTATTAGATAAAGAACCAATAGTTCGATGCTTTCCAATACAGTGATTGCTAGGAAATTTTGTTAAGTACGCCAAGTATACTGGCATTGTATTTTCGCACCAAATCTGTGAAAAAATAATGTTTACTTGAATCAAATTAATCGTCACATTTTAATATTCTCTTAGCAAAATAGCATTATTTAAAATATCCTCATTGAAAGTGGCAGTATTTAAAATAGTCTCAGTAAAAGTAATAATATCTGAAATAGCCACATTGAAAATAGTACCATTCAAAAATTAATATGCAAAAGCAATAACAAAGGTTCAATTACCGATACTACTTACATTGGCATAAGAGAGGAAAAACAACTGATCGTTTTGAAAATATTGTAAGCCAGGTAATCTCCGATAATTCCTTTGTTTACGTCTAGTTTCTTGTCGAAAAGCGGCATAATTAATATGAAGGCCAACATTGTCCGCCATGTTTTCCATTTCGGTCTTTGCGCCATTCACCTACGAGAAGAAGAAAATTCCATAAAAATTCATCTGAACTTTTCCGGAGATTATTAGAGACTAGACATTAAATATTAAGGTGATATGAAAGGTGCTGAGAAATTTAATCGAGGTCTGTAAATTAAAATTCATCTATACTCTTTTTGGTGGTATCATCATTTTGATTACTCAAGTGGCAACATAAGCTGGCGCGTCACATTTATACTTATATTGAAGTCGTTTACAGTGTTACGGGGCGGCCGAGCGGATGCGAGGCCAGAGTAATTCGGATGGAGATTACCCAAATCTTGCGCGTAACGTTTATTTTGAGTTTGTGAGGAGATTGATCCGAGCGGCTAGATCAATTCCTCTGGTGGGATCTAGGAGAGTGAGGAATAAAAAGGGGGTTAAAACGAAAGGCTATGTGGCGATAAGAGTTGTATTTATTCGTACGCGAGGTTTGAACTACAGTCAGCTGTGAGGAGCACACGAGGTGCNAAGATATTCCAATTGGTGGGGGTTTCCTAGGGCGCAGGTGAGGGTGGACTTCGGAGTCCTGCTGATGCGTTGCGGAGTCATCAGGTTGTTTGCCCCGGGTCGGTCGGTGACTTTTGGAGCCGTTTGGCCGGTGAACTCGTTGAATTCTTTCGCAAGAGTTTCGCGTTTCTGTACTCGGATTTCCATGGCTGACTCCGGTTAATAAAAAAACTAGAATTTTTCCCTATTTTAGGGTACGGAAAGGTACCTACGTAACAACAGTCTACATTGAGAATTGTACGAACTGAAGCGTTTCATATGTCATTTTAGTAAAGTAATGATGAAGAGATCGATAAAAAACTGTCGAAATCCCGTGAATTCATTATTCTAACGACGGTTTAGGACCAACGTCGCCATCTGTGACGTTTAGCTGCAACTAAATTCTTGCTCTAAAAACACGTGTTAGCCCCGATACAAGCCAGTATATTCTTGCAATCGTTGGTGAAAGTGACGGTTTTGATTTTGATATTGATACTGATATTGAAAATTTGAAATGATTTGTCTTGAAAATTTTATGAAAATATCTTCAACGAAATATTTAACCTAAAATGTCATCATCAATGTCTAACCAGAAAAAATGTCATGTAATCTGAAAAAGATGTCAATAATCTGAAAATCATCCATTTTTTACGTAACTCAACAAAATGTCGCCGAAGTTTTTATAAAAGCGTTCGTTGCATTGGAGAGGGAACGGTTCTTTATCAATGAGCGTGTTGTGTGCCACACAGAACACAGTGCGTCGCCACGTCGAGGGCGGAATCCAATCAGAACTGCATCATAAGTGACCACGAGGTTAGAGTGCAAAGCTGAATGGTTCTCCATCCTCTACGCGACGACGCGCCGGACTCAGACTATAATGGCGCCACTCGCGGTAACTCAAGGAAACTTGCGAGGAATGCGGATGCGAGGAAAGTAATGCGGGCAGAAGACGATAAATACGTCGAGTGAGTGAAACGTGACCTTGAATGTTTTCAAATTGGCGTAGCGTATAGTTGGTAGCTCTAAAACATCTGAAAAAATTACAGGCTCTACAAAATGGAACATACTTTCTTTATGCCAAATATAAATCCATAATAAGTTCTCTTATTTGTGAAAAAAATATTTATCGAATTGACGGACCGAACTTTGGCGCAAAGTATTCGGTGCGGTTCGCGCATGGTTTTAAATGTATTTGGCGCGAAACTCTACCGAGTTTCCTGATTTCGACAGTTTTAGGACCTACTTTAGGGCCTGCAAATTCACTTGGTAAAATGTGAAACTAATCGGTACCCCCACTTCTAAGAATGTATTCATCAACAATTTGATTTCTCAGATATACTAGGTGATTAATTTAACTTGAGACACCTAAATATCTCGAGAAATACGCATCGTCCGAAAAAAATTATTCAGAACGAAAATCATTCAGAGGGGCGCACGGAGAGGAGCTATCAGTTTAACTGTAGATGACGCTCTTGTCGATGAAAGTGAGGTTAGGTTCATTTTCTTAAACAGCAACTCCCATTTTTTTATTGTAGATTTGTATTCTGCGTACAAAAATAAGAAACTTTTGCTCGAAACGTTTTTATCGAAACGTACATTTTTCAAAGGTAATAAGGGTCTAAAGTTCCAATGCCCGGAAGACTGCGACACTCCGACTGGCAGTGTCTCTCCATGGTATACGATCATAGTGCCTTCTGGATCTGGAATCTGGAAGAAACGTGACTGATGCCGTCATTGTTTATGCTTTTTTATTGCGGTGGAAGTGTCGCAGTCGTCCGGGCATTTGAACTTTAATCTCTTGTAGCCTTTGAAAAATGCACGTTTCGATAAAAACGTTTCGAGCAAAAGTTTCTTACGAAAAAAAGTTTCTTATTTTTGTATGTAGAATAGGAATCTATAATCAAAAATGGGGGTTGCCATTTAAGAAAATGAACCTAACCTCACTTTCACGGACAAGAGGTCCATCTATAGTCAAACTGATAGCTCCTCTTTGTGTGCCTTTCTGATACGAATAATTTTCGTTTTGAACAATTTTTTCGTACGATTCATATTTCTCGAGGTACTTCGGTATCTCAAGTTAAATTAATCACCCTGTATATAGGCTGACTCTTTCATATCACCTTAATTTTGATGTGAGAAGTTACTTACATATGCGGTAAAATTTACTGGTTCTAGTTCATATTGGAATTTATTATACTGATTGATAAAACATTGAGCTTTCGCTCTGAATGCTCGAACTGATTCCTCGGACCATATCATTGGTGATGAGTCGTAAGCTAGTTTTCGTCCTTTAAATTATCATACATGGGATAATTTGTTATTAACTACTGTGCGGAATGCGTGAGTGGGAATAAAAACGTACCACTTTCGTCGAAAGAGTGAGATAATTCATGCCCTATCATTGAACCAAGGGCGCCATATTGAACGGGCCTGAAAAAATAAAAATGATTTTTTTTTTAATTCTAATTAAACAAGAAGACATTTTTTTAAAGAATCGAATGGAAACATTTCGTCATTAAAATGGCAACATCAAATATTAGCCCTTTGCACTCCGCACCATCCCATTTAGACTTAAAATGTCCCCTCAGAGGGGACAGCGGAGTGCAAAGGGTTAAAATACACAAATATTAATATCTAATTGCTACAGTCGAAATTAGGACGAGATTCAATTTTATCTCTTCTTAAAAGTACTTGATAGTTGATCATTTGTTATAAAAACGTAATAATCCAGTTATACAAAATAATTGGTTAATAATATTTTTTAATTTGTAGATAATGAGGGCAACTTAATTTCCCATACAAGGGATGATTTCGTAAATTGTTGTTTTTGTTTAATGAACACACTTACTCGGGTATGTCGTTCATGAAAAATGGTAATTGCATAACTCCTGCTGGCAGTACTAAATAAGAAACGAATGGAAAAAATTAAGTATTCGTATTGTATGCCTTCCACATTCTTTTTCTGTTTTGAAGGATGTGGAACTAACTTATTGCGTTGATTTTCTGGGAATACTGCGCATTCATTCTGAAAATTCCATCCTTCCATCTGAAATTACAAAACAACGCGACAGGATTTCCAATAACATGCAGACTTATGGTGACATGAAAGAGTTAGCCTATATTTATCTGAGGAGTCAAATCGTCGGTGAAAGAATTTCCCGAACCGGGTGTACCGATTCGTTTCAAATGTTAACACGTGACTACAGAGGCCCAAAAGTAGGTCCTGAAACTCATGAATCCACGCCATTTTTCATAAAAAATTCATTTACTTATCATGGACTAGAACAAACATGGCGTACTCCGTGCACGTTTTCGATGTTTTACGGTTCTTGGAGGCTTAGAATCGAAAATGAAGAGTTTCAGGATCTAGCCCGAACAATTTAGAATACCGTAGAACTGGAATATTATAGAGTCAGATGGGAACATATGGAAAATACTTTCACCAACGATTGCAAGAGAATGCTGACTTGTCTCGGGGCTAATACGTGTTTTTAGGGCAAAAGTTTAGTTGTAACTAAACGTCACAGATGGCGACGTTGGTCCTAAGCAGTCGTTAGAATAATTAATTCACGGGATTTCGGTAGTTTTACATCGTTCTCTTCATCATTACTTTCCTGAAATGACATATGCAACGCTTCAGTTCGTATAATTATCAATGTGGACAGTAACAGGCCAGCATAAATATAAATGACGGTAACGTAACGCGCCAGCGTATGTTACCATTTGAGTATACAAAATGACGTTATCACCAAAAAGGGTTTAGATGAAATTACATTTATCGACCTCGTTTAAATTTGTCAGTGCCTGTCATATCATTTTAAGAATTAGGAAGCATCAAATTTCAAACATCGTAATGTTAAGTTGATATGAAAAACGCTGAGAAATTTAATCGAGGCTAATAAATTAAAATCCGTCTCAAGTGTCGGGGGTGGAAATCATATAAAAGCTAGTGTTTAAGCAGCGAGCGACAGATAGAGCAACAAGATCGTCAGACATAAGAGTTGGAGTTACAAGATCGTCAGACATAAGATCAGAAGTCATAAAAGTAGACTCGCAGATCGACTCCAACTGACTATCTCATTCGACTTCACACAACAATTTCGGTTTCGATTTCGACGTAGCCATTTGGACCTTTTCGTCTACAACATTGGATTCGTAGATCCACTCTCGCGCACTATTCGAGGAACGAACATCGTTCCAAGGACCAATTCCCAAGATATTTAAGAAACACACACGCACATACATACATACATACACACTCCCAACTATTCTTATATCAAATTCCTTTTTTTTTATTTAATAAATCTAGTACACTTCAAATATGTTTCATCCTTCTTACACCTTCACCAATAACGATAAGTTCGCGTACGACTTGCTGAGGGGCCCACAAAATTCCTATCTCCCCTTTTTCTTATTCTCCTCCTTAATCGTGAAGGAGGGCGCGAAGCGTTTGTGCGGCTTCCCTTCCTCACGAAATTCCAACATCCTGTTATTCTTTTCCCAGACGTAACACTATACCCTTTTTGGTTGTAACGTCATTTTGAATACTAAAGGGGGAACGTCAACTGGTTCGTCCCGTTACCGACATTTATATTTATATTGGTCTTTTACAGTCTACGTTGATTGATAATTATACGAACTGAAGCGTTCCATATGTCATTTCAGTAAAGTAATGATGAAGAGATCGACGTAAAACTGTCGAAATTCCGTGAATTCATTATTCTAACGACTGTTTAGGACCAACGTCGCCATCTGTGACATTTAGCTGCAACCAAATTTTTGCTCTAAAAACACTTATTAGCCCCGAAACAAGCCAGCATTCTCTTGCAATCGTTGGTGAAAGTATTTTCCATATTTTCCAATCCAACTCTGTCATATTCCATTTCTACGGTATTCTAAATTGTTCGGGCTAGATCCTGAAACTCTTCATTTTCGATTATAAGCCTCCAAGAAGCGTAAAACGTCGAAAACGTACACAGAATACGCCATGTTGGTTCGAGTCCATGATAAATAAATTTTGTATGAAAAATGAAATTTCATGAGTTTCAAGGCTTACTTTAGGGCCTCCATCTTCACGTCATGAAATTTTAAACGAATCGGTATACCCAATTCGAAGAATGCGTTCATCAGCGATGTGACTTTTCAGATATATATCGGCTGACTCTTGCGTATCACCTTAACACATTTGCGACCCGCAAATTTTTTCCGTTTCAAATACTGAGTACCGGCGAAAATAATGAAATTCTGAAACTGGTTGCCGCAAACTTGTATCGTCACGTGTGATTCACGTCAGCGCCAATCAAGAATACAATTTAAAATGACGTGAATTTGCATCAGCGGCAACCAGGAATAGAACTTGGAAAGACGTGAATCACGTCAGCGGTCGCGAATGTGTTAAGAGAGAGATTTCAGAGATTATCTAGTACATTTGTCTTAAATAATAAATTGTTTAAAACTATTTTTCTTCCCGAAAATTGGAACGAAATTAGTTCACTCTTACACTATACTGTTGAGATTATTGTTTATTGTGTTCGTCAGCGCTTGTAATGACTTCTTGACCGAGAATCGTTTCTTGTTTAAGCCATTTCTGAAGTAACTGGTACCGATCGTTAACTGATGAGAAGAATGAAAATACAGTTGTAAAACTTTATGCATTAATAAAATCATAAAACTTTGTATACTTACGTTATTATAATATTCATCGATTGCAGTGTCATTTCTGTACCAAGTAGGATGTCCAATAAATTCTGTCAATTGTGAAATTTTATATATTGATGCCAACTTGCCCGATTGGTCTAGCCAGGCAGAATTATTTATCTGCAGTTCTAATTCATTTTTGTTGTTCATCAATATACTCCCAATCTGAAATACACAATTAAGTTGGAAGTACCCTTCTAATTGAAAATACAATACGTTGTATATTTTTGCAACAAAAAATTCATGTCAAGAGTATTATGTACATTAAATATGAAGCAAATTAAAGGACTCGATTAAAGTGAAGTGAAACTCCCCTCAAATCAGTCGACTCAAATTAAACACTTTTTTTTAAGGGTACTGGATCGAACAGTCTAAAACTTTGACGCATGACTCGTGAGTACCTAGGAATCATCCTGATATTTTCAAAATTTGAATGTTTTAATAAAAAATGTTAACATAGCCTAGACCAGAACCAAAACGGCGTCGAGCTCTCATATTTCGATCAATGTCCAATTATTGACGGCTCTAATATGAGAAACGAAAGTGTCAGGACAATTGGACGACAATTTAGTACACTCTAGTGATCGAGAAACTCGCATTTAAACGGGATAAAGGCCAAAAAAGTGTCTTATGCGCTGCTATGCTAAAACGATGGGAATATGAGATCTCGGTGTGAAAATCTAGTTGATACGAAAATCACAGATAGCGCAGGGTGTCACTGCAGTCAATTAGGGCCTCAGACACCATGAATTCAAGGGATATCTGAAGTTTTACTTCGATTCCTTCGTAATTATTGTATGAAAACGACAGATGGAGTATGCCATTTAGTATAATGCTCAATGAAATTCGATGCGGTTGTCAATGTAAAAACGAACGTCGGCAACGTAGGTAGTTGGAAAACCAGATTTACTGACGTCGATCAAGTTTCTCGACGTGTTTCACTTTACCTTCAACGGTATGTATGTTGTAACGGTTGGACGTTATTCGGAAATATAAACCTAAGGACACAAATAAATGAGAAGAAACGAAGGAGTCTAAAAGGTCTGTATATTGAACAAACAAGAGTAAATAAATAAATAAATAAGTAAACAAAATTAAACGATGCACAACTTATAAATGGAATAAAAAAGAGACCGAGACATATACGCAAACAAATTTAAAAGAATAAATAACAAAATAATCGCGCTAACGGAAACTATAAAAATAAAAGAACAAATAAATATAAAAATAAAATGCTACGTTGGAATAAAAAAATACATAACCCGAAAGAAGAACTAAAAAAAATAAAATATGAGGACAAGACGCAAATAATCAATCGCAAAGATGGGGGGGAGAGGGAGAGAGAGGGGCTTAGCTTGACTTGCAAGTGTGTGTGAATGAGCGTCGGTGCGACAATAGAATGAGTCGGCTTTTTAATGGTCCGCCGATTACAATCCACGGGCCGATGCTTCGCCAGGCCTTATAAGAGGAACGTGGCAACCACTGACCAGATCTTGCGTCCACGACCTTCAGAGATGTTCTTCGAAATTTAATCAACGGTCTTTTACCATGCCAGCCGACTTGCTGCTAATCAACGGAACACCGTTGAACCTACTTGTTCTCTCTCTCTTCATTTCTCCCTCCATCTCTCCCCTTACAGATAACTACTTAT